GCAGCAGGGAGAGGAAACACAAGCTCTGCTGCTGGCACACCCACACACCTGGATCTGAAAGAACTCTCCCATCTCCAGCAGGATCTTCTTGGCATTGGCATGTTCCTTCTCCCCATCAATACCGGCCTGCAGGGAAGCAGGTGAGGCAGCAGGACCCATGGGGCACCTTGCCCTTCCTAATGCTTCCCGTGGGCTTTGCTTACTGCAGTCCAACCTCTAGTCCCTTCTTATCAGTTAGGCCTAACAAATGAGTGCATCCTGAACGCCCTCACACCAGCATCCCCTGAGAGCTGCAGCCATTTACAGTTCCACTTCCAATTGTTTTGGCCACCTCCAACTTCTTGCAAGATGAAAAGAAAACTTGAAGAGCAAGGTCAGGATGGACCACGAACCCAACTACCTCTAGCCTAGTCTCTTGCCTCAGCTTCAATTTTCCTCTGCTCCTCCATCAGATGAAGCACCTATAGGCCTCACCTCTGCTCATGTTCCAGTCCTATCCTAGTCCCCATCAGAGGGAGTGAGTGGCTTGCTTGAGGCCATACAGTCACACAATGTATAGGATTGTCCAAGTTAGCTACTGTGCCCTCCTGTCCCAAAGCACACAAGAGAAAACAGTAAGGTGACACTGACTCACCATGTACATGGCAGCTGCAACAGGCAGGTAGAAAGAATAGAAAGCTGTCTTGTACTTGACAATAGATTTGTACCTGAGTCAGGGGAGAAGATGCATTCATAAGGGTAAGGTCAATAACCGAGTCCCTCACTATCTAGACAGGGTTGCCACGGGCCCTCACCTCTTTTCAGTGTATCTATCAAGATCCACATGGCCCTGGGGTGCTGTGATGAGGTCGAGAGTCTGCCCAATCTCCGTCTGATAGGAACTCTATAGAGGAAAGGTAACAGATGTCTCTAAGCCAGGCTTTTTGCAGGAATGGGAAACACTGGCATCCTGAGCTCCATACCCCAAGCAGCTGACAACCAGGCAGTAAGGCAGCAGATGAGAGAGAAACTCCAGGCTCAAAACACAACCTTCTTCACTGACTCTTCCAGCCATCACACCCTTCCCAGGTAACCCTAGCAGAGCAGATGAGCATGTGCCCATAGAGTAGGGCTACGGGGACAACAGCCCCTGCTGCAGCGCACCTGCAGAAAGAGCTCCAGGAGGTTCAGGTAGTAGGGCTGCTCCCTGCAGTAGAACTTCAGTAGGCGGTAGATGCAGGCTTCCAGAAGCATAGCATCATTGATGGCATCCAAGCCTATGCCTGGCTGTTAGGAACAGAGTGAAACAGGTTACCTCTGGCCAGGTTCAACCATCACAGTAGACACTCCAACCCCTCCCTGTGGCCCGTCCACCACGCCATTGCTACCTTCCTGTCTACATTACCTTCTGATACCAGCAGATCTGTCCACGTCGAGTGAGGGAGGAATCCATGATGTCATCTGACACAAGAAAGAAAGCCTGGAGCTAGGAGGAAGAGTGAAGTAAGACTCCCAGGGCCCCTTACAGCCTTCTCGCAGGGACAGCTGCTGCTCTGGCCATGGGGTGGGAAGGTTGGCGTGGGGACCCTGACATGCCACAGGACCCCCCCTCAGAATCCACATGCTAATGGACTAAAATAGAACTCTGCCATCTCTAATTTGCTCTAGGATACCCCTGGTAGCACAAAGAGTATGAAACACATTCATGTAGTGCAAAGCGTCAATAAATTTTTGTTCCAGTTGGCTACTATTAGGTCAATTTCACATAAGCTATACTCATTTGTGAAGAGTGAACCTCAACTGAAAAAATGCCTCACCAGAGTGTCCCATGGGGAAGATAGTGAGGCATTTTCACTATGGGTGGTGCCACCCCTGAGCAGGTGGTGGTCCTGGGGTGTATGAGTAGGCTAAGCCAGGCATGGTGGCACATACCTTTAATCCTGGCACTCAGAAAATACAGAAGGCAGATCTCTCTAGAGACCAGTTCAAGGCTAGCCTGGTCTACAAAGTTCCAAGACAGCCAGGGCCACACAGAGAAAGCCTGTCTCAAAAAACAAAAACAAAACAAAACAGAGAGACAGGGAGAGAGCAAGAGCCAGAGAGAGAAAGAGAGAGAGAGAGAGAGAGAAAGCAGGCTAAGAAAGCCATGAAGAATAAGCAGCATTTATTCGTGGCACCTGCATCACTTCCTGCCCTGATTTCTCTCAGTAAGACTGTTATCTGGAAGTGTAAAATAAAATAAAACCTTTCCTCCTCCCTATGTTGCTTTTGATCATGGTGTTTTATCACTTCAATAGGAATCTAAGAAAGTGATGCTTATTTAAAAAAAAAAAAAAAAAAGCTACAGAGATGGCCCAGTGGCCACTCCTGCAAGGGACCAGCTTTAGTCCCAGCACCTATATGACTGCTCACAACCATCTGTAACTGTAGTTCCTGGAGATCCAATGCCCTCTTCTGGCATCTGTAGGCACTGCACACACCTAGTACACACACACACACTCACACACACACACTCACACACTCACACACACACACACACGCGCGCGCGCGCGCGCAAAACACTCATACATATAAAAATTTTTTAATCATAAAAAATGAAATGCTAGCCAGGCAGTGGTGACACACACCATTAATGCCATCACTCAGAGGCAGAGGCAGGCGAATCTCTGTGAGTTTGAGACCAGCCTGGTCTACAGAGCTAGTTACACAGAGAAACCCTGTCTCGAAGGGAGAAAAAAATAAATATTAATTGAAAAGTTTTTGTTTTTGTCTTTTTAATATATTGGGAAGCCACCTCTATAACCCAGGGCAGAGCATGCCAATCCTCCAACAGCCCTACAGCAGTCACCTCCACCCTCTCCTGAGAGGTGAGGAAGGGATGGAGTGTCTGTCAGGCAGGGTCTGAAGGGTCTCTCCTTCCCTCCTAAGACCTGGAGAGTAAGCCTCAACAACAGCACAAACCAATAGCACTACAGGCTAAACAGTGGTGCACTACAAGCTACACAGTGACTTTTTTCTGTAGAAGAGTTAACCCCTTACATGGCTAAGAAAAACCTTGAACTTCTTCCTTTACCTCCAATTCCCAGGTGCTAAGGCCACACGTGCCTGCCACCATGCC